GCTTAAGCATAGTGTGAAAAAGGCTAAGGTTTTAATCCTGTTGATTAAATAATGTGTCTAGTTAGAAATTCACTGCGCAGTAGACACAACGGGAGATACGGTGGGGTAATGCATAACGGCTCGGCTTGAGGAATCGGAGGGCTGAATTCGAATTCCTGTTGAATCCATTACATTCACTTACGTGCTAATATCCTTGGGAAAGGTATGAATCCTCTTTTTTTCACCTCAGCTATGAGTAAATAGGAGGACAGACCTAGTTCTGGATGGTAACATTCAACTACCGCAGAAAGAAATGGCAACCTACTGCGGGAAAAGATCTGCCTCATCAGTCATGTATCGAAAGATACATGATCGCCTAAGCGTGTATAATGCATGACCCATAACTAATTGAATCGACACACAAAAAAGGCCGCGTTAGCAACTAAAATCTGAATGTGAATGATAACTCCTCATCGCAGGAATTTAGACACAAATAAAATATTGAGTTTATCACTGTTTGCTGTTTTTTTAATGATTTTTAATCTTAAGTTTACAAAAATAATAACGTAATGAATTACTCAATCAAGTTTTCTTTTAAAAAATAAAATGAAATAATAATCAGTAAAGCAAGAAAAGTTAAACAGAGAGCATTTGCCACGAGAACACACAAGAACTGTGTAATCTACCTACATAATTTCGTTTTTCAATGAGATAAACAACTGATAGGAAAGACCAGTTCCTCAGTGTGCGTAAACAAATTTAGGGTAACTGAAAAGATAGATGGGGGTCAATGATTAGTTGGGTAAGAAACTAGGGTGTATGTGATAATAGATAAAGGAAAATATATAGAATGAGGTGGATGGGGTTTAACATTTTCCACAAGTCAGATTTCGACTTAAACAACAGATGCGTCAATAACGTCTATCAGTGCAGGTAGTAGAATAAGTGATCCTATTTAAAATTCTAGGTAAGTCTTTGACGGTCAGATTTATCATCATTATCATCAAAATCAACATCAGCAATGCCGACACCACCCTCATCATAAGTCAGTTGAACGTGTTTGGTCGTGGGAGTGATGGACAGCTGAGCAAATGGCCATATCCATCTGCATGTACGGAGAGGTATGTCTCCGTGCGTATCGTGGGTAAATATACCTGATGGAGCCCATTTGTCTCCAGGTGAAAATTACAGCCGATGTTTTCCAAGTCGAAGGCTCATCTTGTTTTACGGACGTTAATTCCAATGGCTGAACCATGAGCCCTGGTTATTGAACTCGGTCTGGGAAGCCTAACATCCCGCGATTCGATGTCATCACTGCACTGTGTACACATATATGGGTCCGCTGTACCCCTTGTGTGGGAGGCTTAAAAAATAGCTCATCGCTCTTTTGACAGGTCTTCCTTTTAGTCCTTCGGGGGTGCCTAGCTATTCCTCTCATTTAGAAAGCCTGATGGAGGAACCGGTTTAGTCACCAACGATCCACCCATACACCAGGTATTACTACGTTCTATGATACAAATAGCAATCCTACAGTGACCCGAAATTTGGTGTTCACTTTTTCACAAAGTATCCTGGGAAATTAACGACTCCATTTTTATATCCCATGTTATGGGTTATATAGTAAGGTTGACAAAAGATAGTTGGTAGTATTAGAGAAAGAAAACGCTACATTTCAAAGCGTTTAGAAGACAAAGGGAAATTACTAAACCAATGCCCAAGAATGCCTTGCCTTTCCAGGAAAAATAAAAATAAGGGAGTATGTGGAGAACCTTCATCTTGGATATTTAAAAGGAACACGGCCACAAAAATAAATTAATTAATTCAGACAAGGACAGACATTTGAAAATAGCTACTATACAATCGAAAACTATTTAATTCACGTTTTCATTTTGTATATGGAAACACAATTTCCACCAGTATCTGTAAGTCTTAATTTAGTAAATATACTGTATAATTTTTTTTTTTTTTGGTTATTTTTTTTTTTGCGTCGTAGGGTGGAGCTTAATTTTCTGACGAAGTTAGTGAAAAAAGTAGTACAATTATTATGATTTCTCTAATTTTCGATATTTTTGTTACTGAATTCAGAAAATTCATCATTAATGAAAAAAACATTTTTTTTTATCTATGACAAAAATCATTTCTACATTTAAATTTCTTTATAATCAATTCTATTTAATTTCAAATATAAAAAACAGCGAAAGATAATGACGCAAATGTTGAGACATAATTTGAATAAAAAATATGCCGAACTTTTCAGAAATAAAATCCTTCCTTTCACGGTTCTGCTCAGAATAACGGCCACATCACGTACGATTACCGAAGTTAAGCTACGTCGAGTCTGGTCAATATTTAAATGGTGTGACCGCGTGGGAATACCAGTTGTTGTGTGCATGGAAGTGCAGATGGTGTAATGGATAATGGCATGACATTGCTAATCGGAGTGCCGAGTTCTAATTCCCGTTGGGTTCGTTCTATTCACTTATGCCCTTGGCAAAGGAATGAATTCACCTTTTCTACCCACAGCTAAGGTTAAATTAGTAAGATATTCACTTACCGCCCCACGCGTCCAGATGCGGTACAAGGCCAAGTTTATTGTGGGATATCCGAGCCCGTGCAAAAATTCCCCGTAGACCTCGTAAAAACGGAGTCGAGTAGCTGTCTACCACCCCAGACGAGACTCTGCCCTTCCGCACAACTTCGTCTGGGTTCCTCTATGCCTGGAGGCAGATAGTTTGACAAACACACTTCCGAACTAATTCGGAGAGTCATTTTCTAAGTGCGGCTAAGATTTGGCAAAAGAGGCCGAAAGCATGTGGTACCCAGTGAGGATCAAACTCACTACTCAGTTGTAATGGTTCTAGCGAGACAGGCTTGTTAACCATTGCACCACGTCAAGGCACCATGGGTTAATTAGTAAGACTTGTATCATTAAACCATTAAGCCTCATAAGCAAACTGCAAAAGTTACAATTGCTATTAAGAGATTAAAAAAAATCATGAAAAAATATACGTATGATTTCATAAAAATAAAAATTGCGAAACATTTAAAATAAATATAGGATTGTATTTTATAAGGATAGAATGCTTCTTCTTCTCTGTGCCGCGTCCCTTCAGGACATGGCCGGTCATGGCTCTCTAAAAAACCTATCCCTTAACAGTTTTCTCGCTAGACTAACCCAACCGCCCTCTTCTGCTGTACATTCACAAAAGATCCTCATGCAGATGGCTTGTTACCATCGGCTCTTTCTCTTGCCCTCAATATGCCAAATTTTCCGAGGCTTCTTCATTTTGTATCCTACAGATTCCAGCTGTCTCTTCCTGATTCTAAGGGTTCTTCTTTTTACCATTTTCTTTAAGGCTTCCTCGTTGATTTTTCGTTAGTTCGTGGAATTCTCAGTTTTCTTATTGTAAAACCACTTTTCTGGTCTTTTCTTTTTTCTATTTCATCTATGAGGAGATTGTCTATTATTTATTGCCATACAAAGGAACGATAGCACAGTTGGTGGGCTCTAACGAATTCTTTTCAGTTTTTCAGCACTTTTCTTATCTTTGAGAAGGCACTTTTTACTCATGCAACGCATTTCCTATTTTTGTACATTTTTCTATATGATAAATGCGAATATCAGTGTGTCACATTTTTCAAATTTACTCCTAGAAGCCGTAGCCCAACATATTATACCATTTTGGAACCAGGCCGACACCGTGAATAAATTAAAAAAAACAAAAACATTTTGAACCGGATACGAAACCGCAATCCTGAAATTTTGGATTCCCAATTTTTCTCTTCTGCCATTGTTTTCGGCGATTTTTTACGTGATTTTTTGCGACGAAATTTTTGTACGATAACAGTTTTTATAACTTGGAAATCAGTTTTCGAATAATCGAAATTAATTGCGAAATCCAGCGAAAGTCGCACATGAAATAAAAAAAAAAATTGTTTGTACGGAAAGTAAGGACCTTCGTACATCAAATTGTCTTTAAATGAAGTGGCGACAGGAAAAACTGTCGTTGAACTTTTAACTGGTAATCTTAAATATTAATGCAATGCTTAAATGCAGCGATCAATTTGGAGTCCTTCTGTAGTTTAATTTTTGCCTATTCCATCTACTACTCCCTAACTATTGTGATTCATCCCAATCAAGACCCCTCCACAGGGGCTCGTTTAAATGCCGCCTAATAGGTCGGCTTTGAAGTTAGTTTAAAATACTTCCCAGATGATTCAACTCATCTATTTGCTTGATGTTGATATTTCTACTGTATAGCTCACATGTTGGGCCTTTGGTTTTGCTGATGACCATACTTACTTTCTTCCTGCTGGATTGATGGCTGCTGCTTTTATCTTGATTTATTTTAATGGTCGTTCTCTAGTTTTTTTTTCCGTGTCAGGCATCAACATATCATATATTGTGAAGATGACGCCCACCGATAATAAATCCTGGAATGGGTCCCCAGCTCCCCTGCCTCGTTGTAAGGGTTGGAAAAAACTAAGGCGAAGAAACATAATCGTCTTAGAAAATTTCCATTTTCTGGTTGGTTGGTCGTTTTTCGTTTAGCGGCATATAAACATCTATGGGTTATTTAATGTCGAAATAAATATATTTTGTACTTATTTTTATTACTATTATTATTATTATTTTATTTTAGAAATAATAATGGTTTTCGTGATACAATTATTACTAATTAACCATATTATACCGTACCTATGTAGAATAACTGGTATGTGCCAATCCTTATAAATACAGTGGGATATACTGTTTGAGAAGATTCACCACTAGCAATAAATTACTGATTACACGCCGCTGGCAGATCTCATATGCTGTTAATGTTATGAAGATTACCGTTCCATTCGTTTTCGTTATTCTTATTCTGTATTCTTTTAGAAGTTACAACAAACCCATAGGTGGAGGAGAAGACGAATAACTTTCCCAATGGTATTTGCGAATATAATGAACCTAACTGGAATTAGAACTCAGCATCCTCATTAACATTTCCGGGCCATTACACATTACACCACATCGAAACTTACAGTATCTGGTATTCCCAAGCGGTCACCTATCTAGGTAATGATCAGGCCCGACGTTGCTTAACTTCGATGATCGTACGGGAATTGGAGTTTCAAGTCATCCTTCAGAAAATTGCTAAGGTTTCCTCTGTTTTTTTTTGTTGGTAACGGTAGATATCTTATTTCCTCTATTTTTTTGTAGCTGTTCAATTCATTTTCTCTCGGCATGCAGGCAGTATGCTCCATGAATAAATTCTGTATTATTCCAAAGTTCTTTACAAATATTTCTTGTTTTCTTTCAAGCAGTTAAAATTGAACCTTGTAACCAACTTCCGAGGCCAATACCGGGTAGGATTATGATCTCTCAGTTGCGTCTCCGTCTTCGGGTAGAGGGCGAATCAGTTGTGGCTCTATTTGTCGACAGACACGCAGCTGGTGTTGGGGGGTGAAATACTGGGTGGTGCCAGGTTCTGGGGAACAGCTGTCCGCGGCTGTACCCACCTCATTGCACTGAGATTGGAAATCGGTAGTCGCTACCGAATCCCCCGCAGCCGACGGTTGCGCGGACTGGGCATTTTTGCCGCTGGCCCGAATGTACGCGCTGCGGTTTCCCACATTAAACCCGAACCTGTGTCTGATATCATCTCACTGAGAAGACTGGAGTAAATACTAGCTTGTGCTGTAAGTTGTCAAATGATTTAGACGTAATCTATAAAACGGGATTAGTTTATAAATACCCGACAACTAAGTTGTTGTTATTAATTATAGGTTCCTAGAGGTGTCGTTTGTTGATGAACAAAAAACTAAATGTGCCGAGTTGGTGTGAAATATAGACAAACAAGTGAGTGGAACTTAATGAGATATACATTTTTATTCTATCGGGAACTTTTTTTGTGTAGAAAAATATCTTAAGCAGAGTTCCTGAAAGAAAGTGCAATTTCAAGAAGTGTTCTTAAGACAAACTTTGTAAAAAAGGAAAAGAAAGTTTACCGTTTCCTGTCGATTAGTTAAAAGAGTAGGTTCTTTAAGCCATGTGCATCAGTTACATGGAGAGCTACATTTGGCATCTTATAGCGACTTTGCAAGAATTGAAATAGGGATCAAGAGAGAGAGACAGAGAGAGAGAGAGAGAAAGAGAGAGAGACATTCACTTGTTATTAATCTCACGTTTGTCCCCAATTTTTTTTTCTTTTAACCATGCCCATGTAACGGGGTAGGTAAAGTTGGGTGTTGATGCATTATTTTCCCAGTTATTATTTGTTGTTTGTAATGGGGTGGTGATAATAATTACACAAATTAAAATGCATAAAACGTACAACGATAACAACAATGTAATGTTCAGACAAGTGTTGACATAAATAACAATAATTTTTACTTTCTTTTTGTGATGAGAATTACAGAATATTCGTATGGTATATGTTAAAAAATGTTTTCAGTCTCGCTTTTGTTTAAAAGTCAGCGTTTACTTTCTAATTTGGTTCCGAGAAGTTCGTTTGTGAGGATGCGTTTGAAAACGTCTGTTTTCAATCTTCCCGAGGCCCTAGTAGACGTGTCTTTCTGTACTGCTACTGCGACTTGTCTACTGGTCTCCTGACTACTTGTCTTCTCTAATCTACTGACTCTCTTGTGGTGGAAGGGTCGTATTTATAATGACAAGGGAAGGATGATGAAATATCTATCATTCATCATCACTAATGACGAGGTTATTTTTGAATGATGTAATATCCTTATTTATCTTATCAATGATGGCAAGGTTACTTTAGTAACTAATGATGAAATATCTTAATTAATCTGGACCGTAACAGAAGGCCCACCATAAAACGAAAGGACTTTATAATGTAGATAATCATAATCTTTTTTTCATGAAATGCTTTTACCTGAAGCTGTAGATCTGATTGGTAACATGTAGTCTAGAGAACTGCTACATTTCTTATATTCTTTTGTTGTTCGCTTTTTTAGTATCACTGGTTTAAATTTCTGCGTGAAGATCGTGTAGTGCTTTTTGGAATGTTCTATGTTTTAAGTGTTTTTCATGTCTGCTAAAGAGTCCAGAAACAGGAGGATTCCTTAACTGGATGCACCGGTCCTTCCTAGAAGAGTGATATGTTCAACTTAGTCATCCTTCAGAAAATTGCTAAGGTTTCCTCTGTTTTTTTGTTGGTAACGGTAGATATCTTATTTCCTCTTGGAAGTTATACTTGGGTTCCAATAAGAGTGATAAGTAAATTTATCATTCAAATTTGGTGGGGCGTTTATCAAGTTCTTTTTATGACAGTTTTCAGTATAGGTTGTTTTATATATATATATATATATATATATATATATATATATATATATATATATATATATATGTGTGTGTGTGTGTGTGTGTGTGTGTTAGAGTGTGTGTGTGTGTGTGTGTGACCTGACGATTGCATCTTGCATGAAACAGACTGTCGCCCCTAAGTTTTGACTTCTATATTCACTTGTACACAGACAAACACACACACACACACACACATATATATATATATATATATATACAGAGAGAGAGAGAGAGAGAGAGAGAGGGAGAGAGAGAGGGAGAGAGCGAGAGAGAAAGAGAGGGAGAGAGAGAATATTATTGGTAAATATACACATATACATTGATAATACTGAAAATATTAATTTTTTATTCCTGGAGTTGTTTTTCTGTTTTCTTTTTGAATTTGTAGATCTGATGAATTGGATCGTATTTACGATTCCAATGGAATAAATTATGACCATGGGATATTAGTGTTTAAGCCTTTTATTATATATATATATATATATATATATATATATATATATATATATATATATATATATATATATGTGTGTGTGTGTTAATAGCAAGGCAAATATCCATACATTTCTTATTAAAACGCACATTGTGAAAATAAAATTTCTTTAACGTACGTGGCATGGTAGAGAATTTGGTTGACTCTGTTATGTTTAAATGTTGTCCTTAAGTTTCCTCTATATTTTTTAGTTGCGTTTAGTTTTTAGCCAGGTCACTACTGTTACGGGGTAGGTAATGTTGAGCATAGTTGATTTGGTTCCGAGAATTTCGTTTGTGAGGATGCATTTGAAATCTTCTGTTTTCGATCTTCCTGAGGCGCTGGCAGACGTATATTTCTATACTGCTATTGCTACTAGTCTGTTTGAGGACTGCATAATTATCTACTGGTCTCCTAGTCTAGTCTACTGATTCTCTTGTGGTGGAAGGATTGTTTTTATAATGATACGGGTAGGATCATGAAATACCCTTCTTTTCTATCATCACTGATGAAAATGTTTTTTTTTTAAGAATGATGAAATATCATCATCATTTTGGACCACGAGACCCAAATGCTGAAAATGAATTACCGCTACTGACAGGGCTATCAACGTATGCGTGTTTACCGAACTAATTTATCGCCTGCTAAATAGTGGAATAAAAAGGGAAACTCGATAGTAACTTCCATTAAAAGATCTGTGATTGGTTTGTTCTAATTTTTAATTACCGATGTGTAAATAGCATGTCGACTTTCACGATAGTGAGATGCTCTTTGAAATGTACACAACATTCTTTTAATGTTTGTTGTTTTGTACTTTTGACGATTGTTTTCTGTACCTATGCAGTGATCACTTGTAGACTAGGATTTTGAATCTATGGTTCATGAATTTGGTGCCTTAGTAACTGCTGCTCAATCATTGGTCCGGAGGGCACAAACTCAGATTCATTAGAAATCGGGTTACGATTGCATTTACTACTTCTAATTTTCACATATAAATGAGGGGATGTCATCATTTGTAGAAATGGAATGAATGTGAAATGAGTGGGAAGTATGCATTTCAACATGAACATATTTCCATGTATTTTTATATAATGTATAAGAAACACATCAGAAAAGCTTGTGTAACATCCGTCACTCCCAAGAAACCTTGGATCTGCACCCAAATGCTTATGTCTCAGCTGCTGATGGCGCTGCAGCATCTTCTATGGCTGTACAGGCTCATACTGGAATGACACTTTCGATTGCAATAAATGCAGGCCTAAATGTTGCAGTAAAAATCCATGTTAATAGTAAAAAGCATTTTTATTGCTATATTGGTGGCAAATATTTTTTTCACAGTAGTTTTAAAATTCTTGGATCAAAATCAAGTGTTACCATTCAGCATGAATTTGAAATATAAACAATTCAATACAAATCTTTAAAAAAAAGTTTTTCCTTAATTAATGTAGCTTATTAAATTTTAATTGCTTCCTCAATCAATAAAAAGACTATATTTTAATTATGTCCGCACATGATGTGACTTGTATTTTCTTCTCATAAAAAGTAACACATTTTACACACACACACACACATAAAAACACACACACACACACACACAAGCGCGAACGTATGAACTGGCGAATGAGTTCGGGAGTAAGTTAGCGAGAGACATAACGAATGGGTTAGTGAATGAGTGAGTAAATGAATCAGTAAAAGAGTGAGTAAGTGAAGGAATAAGTGAATGAAAGTGAGAGTGAGTAAATGAGGGAGTGAAGGAGCGAGTAACTGATTTAATGAGTGAATGCATGAGAGGATGACTGGGGAGGCTGTTAGTGAATAAATATGTGGTTCATTTTGTGCATGTGTGAGTTAGCGAATAAATGATTGAGCAAGTGAGTGGAAGAATAGGTTAGTGAGTGAGTGAGTGAGTGAATGAATGTGAGAGTTAATCAAGGAGAGGGTGAATGAATGAGTGACTGAAGGCAATGAGTGAATAAATACGTGAGTTAGCGTTTCACTGAGTAAGTTAAGGAATAAATGAATCAATGAATGAGTGACTGACTGAATAAGAACGAGTGAAAGAGGGAGTGAATGGATAAGTGAGTTAATGAACGGATGATTGAGTTAATAAGTGAGTGAATGAGTGCGTGAATGGGTGATTGAAAGAGTGCGTGAATGGGTGAGTGAATGAGTGCATGAACGGGTGAGTGAATGAGTGCGTGAATGGGTGATTGAAAGAGTGCGTGAATGGGTGAGTGAATAAGTGCGTGAATGGGTGAGTGAAAGAGTGCTTGAATGGATGAATGAAAGAGTGCGTGAATGGGTGAGTGAAAGAGTGCGTGAATGGATGAATGAAAGAGTGCGTGAATGGGTGAGTGAATGAATGCGTGAATGGGTGATTGAAAGAGTGCGTGAATGGGTGAGTGAAAGAGTGCTTGAATGGGTGAGTGAAAGAGTGCGTGAATGGGTGAGTGAAAGAGTGCGTGAATGGATGAATGAAAGAGTGCGTGAACGGGTGAGTGAAAGAGTGCGTGAATGGATGAATGAAAGAGTGCGTGAATGGGTGAGTGAATGAGTGCATGAATGGGTGAGTGAAAGAGTGCATGAATGGATGAATGAAAGAGTGCTTGAATGGGTGAGTGAAAGAGTGCGTGAATGGATGAATGAAAGAGTGCGTGAATGGGTGAGTGAATGAGTGCATGAATGGGTGAGTGAAAGAGTGCGTGAATGGGTGAGTGAAAGAGTGCGTGAATGGGTGAGTGAAAGAGTGCGTGAATGTGAGAGTGAAAGAGTGCTTGAATGGGTGAGTGAATGAATGCGTGAATGGGTGATTGAAAGAGTGCGTGAATGGGTGAGTGAATGAGTGCATGAATGGGTGAGTGAAAGAGTGCGTGAATGGATGAATGAAAGAGTGCGTGAATGGGTGAGTGAAAGAGTGCGTGAATGGATGAATGAAAGAGTGCGTGAATGGGTGAGTGAATGAGTGCATGAATGGGTGAGTGAAAGAGTGCATGAATGGATGAATGAAAGAGTGCGTGAATGGGTGAGTGAAAGAGTGCGTGAATGGATGAATGAAAGAGTGCGTGAATGGGTGAGTGAATGAGTGCATGAATGGGTGAGTGAAAGAGTGCATGAATGGATGAATGAAAGAGTGCTTGAATGGGTGAGTGAATGAGTTCATGAATGGATGAATGAAAGAGTGCGTGAATGGGTGAGTGAATGAATGCGTGAATGGGTGATTGAAAGAGTGCGTGAATGGGTGAGTGAAAGAGTGCTTGAATGGGTGAGTGAAAAGAGTGCATGAATGGATGAATGAAGGAGTGCGTGAATGGGTGAGTGAATGAATGCGTGAATGGGTGATTGAAAGAGTGCGTGAATGGGTGAGTGAAAGAGTGCTTGAATGGGTGAGTGAAAGAGTGCATGAATGGATGAATGAAGGAGTGCGTGAATGGGTGAGTGAATGAATGCGTGAATGGGTGATTGAAAGAGTGCGTGAATGGGTGAGTGAAAGAGTGCGTGAATGGATGAATGAAAGAGTGCGTGAATGGGTGAGTGAATGAATGCGAGAATGGGTGATTGAAAGAGTGCGTGAATGGGTGAGTGAAAGAGTGCTTGAATGGTTGAGTGAAAGAGTGCGTGAATGGATGAATGAAAGAGTGCGTGAATGGGTGAGTGAAAGAGTGCGTCAATGGGTGAGTGAAAGAGTGCGTGAATGGGTGAGTGAAAGAGTGCGTGAATGGGTGAGTGAAAGAGTGCGTGAATGGGTGAGTGAAAGAGTGCATGAATGGATGAATGAAAGAGTGCTTGAATGGGTGAGTGAATGAGTGCATGAATGGATGAATGAAAGAGTGCGTGAATGGGTGAGTGAATGAGTGCTTGAATGGGTGAGTGAAAGAGTGCGTGAATATGTGAGTGAAAGAGTGCTTGAATGAGTGAGTGAATAAGTGCGTGAATGGGTGAGTGAAAGAGTGCGTGAATGGGTGATTGAAAGAATGCGTGAATGGGTGAGTGAAAGAGTGTTTGAATGGGTGAGTGAATGAGTGTGTGATTAAGTGAATGAATGAATAAAGTAGTGAATGAGAGAGTTAGTGAATGAATACATGTCATAGGTTTATTCCAAAACTGGAAATTAATTTCCGTACTACCAAATGACATTTATTTTGAATTAGATTGATATAAAATTAACAAAGAGGACACTTTAATCATTAAGAATAAGTAATATATTTTTGTGTGGCTATAATATATCAGAACACAATTGAAATGTTTATTCTAAAGCCTGACATTATTTTCCGAATAAGCGAATTCTTTGATTAGATTCTGGAAGTCCTGTTTCACTATTCCCATGCACCTTTAACTTTTGCGTCGCATTTAGCGTCGCATTTTGTGCTACGTTTTCAGTCAGCTGTTAGTACAGCAAGCATATTATTCGATTTCTGTACGTCTTGCTTCAATTGTCTCCTATTCAAAGCCACACTTTTGACGACTTTTCTTACTACCGACTATAAATTCTATTTCAATTAATTAATTCTTCCTTTCACCCTTCCTTTGTATTTTGCCTAGATTTGTTCTTTTCTATTATTCTTTTATTTTAGTTCACCAAAGAAAAGGATCAACGGCTGCTCAAGCTAGAGATTTATTCAATGAAAGAGTTGTAAACGAAGTGGAGGGGAAGAAGAATTTCTTGTGAGATATCAACCTCTCTGGTTTATTCAATGCCGTAATCTAAATATATTGTATGTAAATTTATTTTATTTCTTTAGAAGATAAGAATAGATTTAGTGATTCAATCGTACCAATTAACACATAGCTAGGGGAGAAGAGGTGGATTAATACTTTTCCCAAAAGTATTCCCGCGTAAGTGAATATAACGAACCCAACTGGAATTTGAACTCTGCTTTCCGGGCCATTATCTCTTACATCACCCGCACATCCGAGCTTACAGCACCTGGCATTTTCAAGCGGTCACTCATCTAAAGACTGATCAGGTTCGACGTTGCTTAACGTTATCATACAAGAACCCGTGTTTCAACGGGATGCGGCTAGAATCCGGGAAAAGGAAATCCATAATATGAGACTATGTAGGATAGATAACGGTTGACATATTTAAGCATCAAAAACTGATTTCACCGTTACTCACCCAATACAAAGCCAAGGAGCCTCTCATGTTAGAGGGTAAAAGAATGTTTTAGTAGAAAGTAAATAACGTTTGACGTGATCATTGAAAAGCTCAAGATTGCAGTAGTCAGAGAAGCATCCTCCCGGGAGTCCATTCGTCAAAGTACCAGTTCTTATGTAGAACTTGTTTCGTAAATAAAGAATACAGACTGAATTACAAAAATAATTTGCCAGCGAGAACATGGTATAGCGCGTTCTAAATGCAAATGGCGGACAAGGCCGTGTTTAAGAAGCACCCGGTGAGTATCGAAATCACTAGTTAGTTTAGCGACACAAGATTGCTAATAATTATACAACATAGAAGTGCCCTAGCGATTAACTAAACATCGCTTAATTGTGTAGTAAAGCCGAAAGCATCGATCTCACACTGAGGATCGATTTCCCAATAGACTAAGTAAAATACCTCATTAGAATATTGGTTATAGTAATGGCGATAGAGTAGTGAGAGTCTAGCAATGATTTGTCTGTGGGTTAATGTTTAAAGGGTGGAGAATAATGTATAACCTATAAGGCTGCGAATTAGCTTTTACAACTCTACCGTGTTTCGACATGTAGCATTTGACTAGATATGACAGAAAAACACCCTTTTTGGTAATAGACAGACAAAAAAAAATAACCACATTCGAACAGATATAGCAGAAATACTACCATTTTGGTAACAGGCAGACAAAAAAAAATTAACCGCACTCGAACAGATATAGCATAGAGATACTACCATTTTGGTAACAAACAGACAAAAAAAAAAAAATAACCGTCCTTAACCAGATATGGCAAAAGTACTGTCTTTTTAGTAATAGAGAGAAAAAAACGTACTCGAACACATATGGCAGAAATCATGCGTTTTTGATAATAGACAGACAAATAAAATTACTCGCACTTGACCAGATATAGCAGAAATGCTGCCTTTTTGGTAATAGTCAAAAACAAATAAGCACACTTGACCAGATATGGCAGAAATACTGCCTGTTTGACAATAGACAGTCAGCAAAATAACCACGGCAAAACAAAGCGACTCATAGAATTACAGCCACATCACGTTTAAACACCGTTTACTATGGGATCACCGACGTTAAGCAACTTTAATCCTGGTAAGTACTCAGATGGATGACCACATGAGAATACCAGTTGATGTGCGTGTGGAGTAATGGATAATGGCTCGGAATTTTAAATCGGGAGGCGGGTTTTCAATTCCACGTCGTTCATTATATTCACTTACGCCCAAATACCTTTAAGAAAGTATGGATCCGTCTGTTCTCACCCCAACATAGGGGTACTTAGTAAGACTTGTATCACAATAATTATCTCTCCAAAACTCTTATAATCCCCCCAAAAAATTGGATTTAGATAATCTCTAAAGGTTTAATAAACCATAGAGAAGGAACTGATCAATCGATGTATCATATGTATTTAAACGACAAAAATGAAGGTTGTTGGATTAAACAGCAAGAAACGAGGTCAGCGTGATAAAAATGTTCTTTGTCTTTTGTGAAAAAGTGAAAAAAGAAACTAAGCAAGGGCCACAAAGAAAATATCTACCTTGAATACAAAATGTCACAGCGAGCATTCTATTTTGTACGCTCGGCTTTCCATAGAGGTTAGAACATATTATTTAAAGAAAGAAAAATACTGGAAATTTTCTCATACACATACGTATATATGCAGTATAAGGCAAATCGATGATTGATTGAGTCCTTTGGGGATCCGGATAGCTTTTGAGCACCTCCTGTCACAAGTAAAGTGGTAATATGTGAAGGAAAAGGAAGAGGTGAACTGAATAAAGGATATGACACAGACCACATCAAAGACCAGTGGGATTCCTTTGAAATCGTATCAGATGCTGCTAAAGAGGACAAAAACCGTGCAGGGCATGCCAACCCAGGTTCAGTCTATAGGATGAATCTAATCGATGACTGAGATATTCTCTTTCCCTCTCTCTCTCTCTCTCTCTCTCTCTCTCTCTCTCTCTCTATATATATATATATATATATATATATATATATATATATATCTATATATATATATATATATATATAACGAGATGGAGAGGGTACAAAAACTTTCTTTTAGGAATAACGTGATTATTTCAATAAGGCTCACTTTTAGAAATGAAGAATCCTCCTTTAATCAACACATTATATGAGGTGACAGCATTGTCACTGATGGAGAAATAATAGATCATGTTTTCACCGATCGGTGATTTACAAATATTTGATAAATGGGGAATTTCATCCCAGATAGATATATATATATATATATATATATATATATATATATATATATATATATATATATATATATATATTATATTTATATATATATATATATATTTAAAATAATGACAAATATTGTAATCCGTATGGAATTTCAGGAGAATATAGATCCAGGGAGAGCTCTATGTCAAAAGACAGAACAAAGTTATTATTAATTAAGAATATCAAACACTTAAAGTCAGATACGTAGTAATTATTATTTCATGAGGGCTCTAAAAATGGCAGCTCTCAATCATCAAGACTTACAAATATATCACCTTTGATTTGTTTGTAGGTCTTGAAGATTGATAGGTGTTTCATTTAGAGCTATCATGAAATAAAAATTAAAAAAAAATTATTACATTAATATATATATATATATATATATATATATATATATATATATATATGAAGAAATAACTTAAACATAATCATCAGGCCATATGCGTGGTGTTCTGACTCGACTATTTATATATGTTGGCCAGTCATACATTACAAGTAAGTGTATTTTTCTAAAGATTATTGGGGGGCGGTATCGATTATTCTGGGACTACCGTTAGAACAGTAGACCTACCCATAATGCATCACTGGGTAACATATATAAATAATCGAGCCAAAAATCTACGAACATTGTTTGAAGATTTTGTTTAAGCATGAAACAGCTTGTCGCCGTTGGGTGGTGACCTCAATATCAACTGATATATATATATATATATATATATATATATATATATATATATATATATATGTGTGTGTGTGTGTGTGTGTGTGTGTGTGTGTGTGTGTGAGTTCTCCAAAATGTTTTGGGGTACCAAGGTTAATTTCTTTGTTTTTGCTGTTTTCTGAAAACATTTGTGTTTAAGATCAATATACGAAGATGAGACAAGATTTCAGAACTTCAGCTTTTATTTGCTGGCATTTATACTTAGATGTGTTAAACAGCTTAGAACGTACCACAATTTCTATCAGATCATGCCATTTTTAGTTGAACCAGATTAAAGTAACAGATAGTATTAAAGTTAATAACATTAAATACCTAGTTGCATAACCTTTGCTTGCACTAACTGTATCAAGCTTTCTCCCCATTGTCGTCACCAAACTGTTGAATTCTTGATTTGTGATGCTTTTCTACATATTTAACGCAGCCTCTTTCAGTTCTTGATTCTTTCGGGGAGTTTCTTCCTTTAATTTCCTCTTCAAGAGATTAAATGCGTGTTCTATTCGATTATCGTCTGGAGATTGATTTCCATGTTTAAAACTAGTTTTGGTTAAGCGTTTCTTGAAACTAGATTTGGTTAAGCGTTTCGCCTTTCTAGGATTCATCAGATCCAAAAGAAATAGAAATTAATCTCTTTGTGCATGCTTGAATAATGCATCAAGCAATTTTTTCCCCTAAGCTGGCATTT